ACGAGTGACTGCTCAACCACAACTGACTGCTCAACCAACGAGTGACTGCTCAACCAACGACTGACTGCTACAACCAACGACTGACTGCTACAACCAACGACTGACTGCTCAACCAACGACTGACTGCTACAACCAACAACTGACTGCTCAACCAACGAGTGACTGCTCAACCAACGAGTGACTGCTACAACCAACGACTGACTGCTCAACCAACAAGTGACTGCTACAACCAACGACTGACTGCTACATCCAACGACTCACTGCTACAACCAACGACCGACTGCTCAACCAACGACTGACTGCTACGACTGACTGCTACAACCAACAACCGACTGCTCAACCAACAACTGACTGCTACGACTGACTGCTACAACCAATGACTGACTGCTCAACCAACAACCGACTGCTACAACCAACAACTGACTGCTCAACCAACAACTGACTGCTACAACCAACAACTGACTGCTACAACCAACAATTGACTGCTACAACACACCACCCTCTGACTGACTGTGTTTGTTTTGCAGGCGCAGACAGGCGAAGCTGCAGAAGGAGTTGGCGGATGCCGCCAAAGAGCCGCTGCCCGTGGACCCGTCAGTATATTTTTATTAAACATTTTAATAATGTATGTACAGAAGTGGCCATGGTACAGGCACACAGGTGAAGTGAGCTCTGATTGGTCTGTCTTCTCAGTGACGATGACATTGAGGTTTTGGCTGAGGATGGAGGGAAGGGGGGTGGAGAGACTTCACCTAACAGAGCAGTCAGCAGGACCCCCAGGTGAGAACAGACTGCGCTGATTTTAGAAACATTTTAATAAACAGCTCAGAGGGCACATCTACATATTCTAGTTCATAAAAGCAGAGCTCCATCAGTGTGACATTTTAACATGTGTGTGTGTGTGTGTGTGTGTGTTCTGTGTAGTAAGATGAGCTCTCAGCCTCCTCCTGGTGGTCTGCGCATCTCCATCTCCAACATATTTGGGTAGGTAGGACTTCCTGTCTCTCTCTCTGCCCGTCTGTCTCTCTGTGAGGTGTAGTCTCACTGATGGTGTCTCTCTCTCTGCCCGTCTGTCTCTCTGTAAGGTTTAGTCTCACTGATGGTGTCTCTCTCCCTGCCTGTCTGTCTCTCTGTGAGGTTTAGTCTCACTGATGGTGTCTCTCTCTCTCTGCCTGTCTGTCTCTGTGAGGTTTAGTCTCACTGATGGTCTCTCTCTCTCTGCCCGTCTGTCTCTCTGTGAGGTTTAGTCTCACTGATGGTGTCTCTCTCTCTGCCCGTCTGTCTCTCTGTGAGGTTTAGTCTCACTGATGGTGTCTCTCTCTCTCTCTGCCCGTCTGTCTCTCTGTGAGGTTTAGTCTCACTGATGGTGTCTCTCTCTCTGCCCGTCTGTCTCTGTGAGGTTTAGTCTCACTGATGGTGTCTCTCTCTCTGCCCGTCTGTCTCTCTGTGAGGTTTAGTTTCACTGATGGTGTCTCTCTCTCTCTGTGAGGTTTAGTCTCACTGATGGTGTCTCTCTCTCTGCCCGTCTGTCTCTCTGTGAGGTTTAGTCTCACTGATGGTGTCTGTCTCTCTGTGAGGTTTAGTCTCACTGATGGTGTCTCTCTCTCTGCCTGTCTGTCTCTCTGTGAGGTTTAGGCTCACTGATGGTGTCTCTCTCTCTGCCCGTCTGTCTCTCTGTGAGGTTTAGTCTCACTGATGGTGTCTCTCTCTCTCTCTGCCCGTCTGTCTCTCTGTGAGGTTTAGTCTCACTGATGGTGTCTCTCTCTCTCTCTCTGCCTGTCTGTCTCTGTGAGGTTTAGTTTCACTGATGGTGTCTCTCTCTCTGCCCGTCTGTCTCTCTGTGAGGTTTAGTCTCACTGATGGTGTCTCTCTCTCTGCCCGTCTGTCTCTGTGAGGTTTAGTCTCACTGATGGTGTCTCTCTCTCTGCCTGTCTCTCTGTGAGGTTTAGTCTCACTGATGGTGTCTCTCTCTCTGCCCGTCTGTCTCTGTGAGGTTTAGTTTCACTGATGGTCTCTCTCTCTCTGTAAGGTTTAGTCTCACTGATGGTGTCTCTCTCTCTCTGCCCGTCTGTCTCTGTGAGGTTTAGTCTCACTGATGGTGTCTCTCTCTCTCTGCCCGTCTGTCTCTGTGAGGTTTAGTCTCACTGATGGTGTCTCTCTCTCTCTGCCCGTCTGTCTCTGTGAGGTTTAGTTTCACTGATGGTGTCTCTCTTTCTCTGCCCGTTTGTCTCTGTGAGGTTAAGTCTCACTGATGGTGTCTCTCTCTCTCTCTGCCTGTCTGTCTCTGTGAGGTTTAGTTTCACTGATGGTGTCTCTCTCTCTGCCTGTCTGTCTCTGTGAGGTTTAGTCTCACTGATGGTGTCTCTCTCTCTCTCTGCCCGTCTGTCTCTCTGTGAGGTTTAGTCTCACTGATGGTGTCTCTCTCTCTGCCCGTCTGTCTCTCTGTGAGGTTTAGTCTCACTGATGGTGTCTCTCTCTCTCTGCCCGTCTGTCTCTCTGTGAGGTTTAGTCTCACTGATGGTGTCTCTCTCTCTGTGAGGTTTAGTCTCACTGATGGTGTCTCTCTCTCTCTGCCCGTCTGTCTCTGTGAGGTTTAGTCTCACTGATGGTGTCTCTCTCTCTCTCTGCCTGTCTGTCTCTGTGAGGTTTAGTCTCACTGATGGTGTCTCTCTCTCTCTCTGCCTGTCTGTCTCTGTGAGGTTTAGTCTCACTGATGGTGTCTCTCTCTCTCTGCCCGTCTGTCTCTCTGTGAGGTTTAGTCTCACTGATGGTGTCTCTCTCTCTCTGCCTGTCTGTCTCTCTGTGAGGTTTAGTTTCACTGATGGTGTCTCTCTCTCTGCCTGTCTGTCTCTGTGAGGTTTAGTCTCACTGATGGTGTCTCTCTCTCTCTGCCTGTCTGTCTCTCTGTGAGGTTTAGTTTCACTGATGGTGTCTCTCTTTCTCTGCCCGTCTGTCTCTGTGAGGTTAAGTCTCACTGATGGTGTCTCTCTCTCTCTCTGCCTGTCTGTCTCTGTGAGGTTTAGTCTCACTGATGGTGTCTCTCTCTCTCTGCCCGTCTGTCTCTCTGTGAGGTTTAGTCTCACTGATGGTGTCTCTCTCTCTGCCCGTCTGTCTCTCTGTGAGGTTTAGTCTCACTGATGGTGTCTCTCTCTCTCTGCCCGTCTGTCTCTCTGTGAGGTTTAGTCTCACTGATGGTGTCTCTCTCTCTGTGAGGTTTAGTCTCACTGATGGTGTCTCTCTCTCTCTGCCCGTCTGTCTCTGTGAGGTTTAGTCTCACTGATGGTGTCTCTCTCTCTCTCTGCCTGTCTGTCTCTGTGAGGTTTAGTCTCACTGATGGTGTCTCTCTCTCTCTCTGCCCGTCTGTCTCTCTGTGAGGTTTAGTCTCACTGATGGTGTCTCTCTCTCTGCCCGTCTGTCTCTCTGTGAGGTTTAGTCTCACTGATGGTGTCTCTCTTTCTGCCCGTCTGTCTCTGTGAGGTTTAGTCTCACTGATGGTGTCTCTCTCTCTCTGCCCGTCTGTCTCTCTGTGAGGTTTAGTCTCACTGATGGTGTCTCTCTCTCTCTCTGCCTGTCTGTCTCTCTGTGAGGTTTAGTCTCACTGATGGTGTCTCTCTCTCTCTCTCTCTTCCCGTCTGTCTCTCTGTGAGGTTTAGTCTCACTGATGGTGTCTCTCTCTCTCTCTGCCCGTCTGTCTCTCTGTGAGGTTTAGTCTCACTGATGGTGTCTCTCTCTCTGCCCGTCTGTCTCTTTGTGAGGTTTAGTCTCACTGATGGTGTCTCTCTCTCTCTGCCCGTCTGTCTCTCTGTGAGGTTTAGTCTCACTGATGGTGTCTCTCTCTCTGCCCGTCTGTCTCTCTGTGAGGTTTAGTTTCACTGATGGTGTCTCTCTCTCTGCCCGTCTGTCTCTCTGTGAGGTTTAGTCTCACTGATGGTCTCTCTCTCTCTCTCTGCCCGTCTGTCTCTCTGTGAGGTTTAGTCTCACTGATGGTGTCTCTCTCTCTGCCCGTCTGTCTCTCTGTGAGGTTTAGTTTCACTGATGGTGTCTCTCTCTCTGCCCGTCTGTCTCTCTGTGAGGTTTAGTTTCACTGATGGTGTCTCTCTCTCTGCCCGTCTGTCTCTCTGTGAGGTTTAGTCTCACTGATGGTCTCTCTCTCTCTCTGCAGACGTCGCCCTGCCGGCTCGTTCAGCTCATCACCTGAGAACACTGAGGCTCCTTCAGGTGTGTGTGCCGACGTCCGGGTCCCCTCCACTGCCCTGCACGTGTTTGTAAGTACCACACCTGTTGACACTGAACGCCTGTACCACACCTGTTGACACTGAACGCCTGTACTACACCTGTTGACACTGAACGCCTGTACTACACCTGTTGACACTGAACGCCTGTACCACACCTGTTGACACTGAACGCCTGTACCACACCTGTTGACACTGAACGCCTGTTCCACACCTGTTGACACTGAACGCCTGTTCCACACCTGTTGACACTGAACGCCTGTTCCACACCTGTTGACACTGAACGCCTGTACTACACCTGTTGACACTGAACGCCTGTACTACACCTGTTGACACTGAACGCCTGTACCACACCTGTTGACACTGAACGCCTGTACCACACCTGTTGACACTGAACGCCTGTTCCACACCTGTTGACACTGAACGCCTGTTCCACACCTGTTGACACTGAACGCCTGTTCCACACCTGTTGACACTGAACGCCTGTTCCACACCTGTTGACACTGAACGCCTGTTCCACACCTGTTGACACTGAACACCTGTTCCACACCTGTTGACACTGAACACCTGTTCCACACCTGTTGACACTGAACACCTGTTGACACTGAACACCTGTACAACACCTGTTGACACTGAACACCTGTACAACACCTGTTGACACTGAACACCTGTACAACACCTGTTGACACTGAACACCTGTACAACACCTGTTGACACTGAACACCTGTACAACACCTGTTGACACTGACTGTGTGTGTGTGTGTGTGT